CTCTGAGAACTTTTCCGTGTCCGATGGAGAGGAGGGAAACACCAGCGACCACTCTAACAGCCCAGATGAGCTGGCCAACAGGCTGGAAGACCAGCTGACTGAGAAGCTGGAGGACATGCTGTCCCAGACTCCGGAAATCCCCATCGAGATCTCCACTCAGTCTGATGGTCTTTCGGACAAAGAGTGTGCCGTGCGCAGGGTAAAGACACAGATGTCGTTGGGCAAGCTCTGTGCAGATGAACACAGCTGTGAGGTGAGTGGGGCCTTCAGTACTCCCCTTCCTCTTCTGTCGGGTGGTGAAAATAACTAGAAGCCAGACAATAAATCCATATGACTAGAGAGGCAAAAGCCTGGGACTGCACAGAAAGGGGCCATGAGAGGGGTACTGCAGAGAGAGGGTAGACTGGGCACTTCTCTTCACCCTGGAACATTCCAAGAAATTGAAAGGCAGAAAATGTATAACTGATAAAAGTTACACAAGACACAATTAGCCTATGGAACTCATTGCCACTAGATATTGTTGAGGCCAGGAGCTTAACAGGCATCAGAAGAAGAGAGACCATTTATATGACTAATGAGGCATCCACAGTTATATTAGATAGGATGAAAAATTGGAATTTAAATAATAAAATGGAAGGGATATAAACTAGGGCTGTCAAGCAATTAAAAAAGTTAATCGAACGATTAATTGCACAATTAATCTCACTGTTAAACAATAATATAATACCATTTATTTAAACATTTTTGGATGTTTTCTACATTTTCAAATATATTGGTTTCAATTACAACACAGGATACAAAGTGTACAGTGCTCACTTTATATTTATTTTTGATTACAAGTATTTGCACTGTAAAAAAACAAATAGTATTTTTCAATTCACCTAATACAAGTACTGTTGTGCTATCTCTTTATCGAGAAAGTGCAACTTACAGATGTAGAATTATGTACAAAAAAAACTGCATTCAAAAATAAAACAAGGTAAAATTTTAGAACCTGCAAGTCCACTCAGTCCTACTTCTTGTTCAGCCAATTGCTCAGAGAAACAAGTTTGTTTTATTTGCAGGAGATATTGCTGCCCGCCTCTTGTTTACAATGTAACCTGAAAGTGAGAACAGACATTCTCGTGGCACTGTTGTATCCAGCGTCACAAGATGTTTATATGCCAGATGCGCTAAAGATCCATATGTCCCTTCATGCTTCGGTTACCATTCCAGGGGACATGTGTCCATGCTGATGACGGGTTCTGCTTGATAACAATCCAAAGCAGTGCGGATTGATGCCTGTTCATTTTCATTATTTGAGTCAGATGCCACCAGCAGAAGGTTGATTTTCTTTTTTGGTGGTTCGGGTTCTGTTATTTCCACATCGGAGTGTTGCTCTTTTAAGACTTCTGAAAGGGTGCTCCACACCTCATCCCTCTCAGATTTTTGAAGGCACTTCAGACTCTTAAACCTTGGTTTGAGTGCTCTAGCTATCTTTAGAAATCTCACATTGGTACCTTCTTTGCGTTTTGTCAGATTTGAAGTGAAAGTGTTCTTAAAATGAACAGCATGTGCTAGGTCATCACCTGGGACTGCTATAACATGAAATATATGGCAGACTGTGGGTAAAACAGAGCAGGAAACATACAGTTCTCCCCCAAGGAGTTCAGTCACAAATTTAATTAATGCATTATTTTTTTAATAAGCGTCATCAGCATGGAAGCATGTCCTCTGGAATGGTGGCCGAAGCATGAAGGGGCATACGAATGTTTAGCATATCTGGCACGTAAATACCTTGCAGTGCCGGCTACAAAAGTGCCATGCAAATGCCTGTTCTTACTTTCTGGTGACATTGTAAATAAAAAGAGGGCAGCATTATCTCCCGTAAATGTAAACAAACTTGTTTTTCTTAGCGATTGGCTGAACAAGAAGTAGGACTGAGTGGACTTGTAGGCTCTGAAGTTTTACATTGTTTTGTTTTTGAGTGCAGTTATGTAAAAAAAAAATCTACATTTGTAAGTTTCACTTTGACGACAAAGAGATTGTACTACAGTACTTGTATGAGGTGGACTGAAAAATACTATTTCTTTTGTTTATAATTTTTACAGTGCAAATATTTGTAATAAAAAATATACACTTTGATTTCAATTACAACACAGAATACAATATATATGAAAATGTAGAAAAACATCCAAAATATTTAATACATTTCAATTGGTATTCTATTGTTTAACAGTGTGATTAAAACTGCAATTAATCATGATTAATTTTTTTAATTGTGATTAATTTTTTTGAGTTAATCATATGAGTTAACTGCGATTAATCAACAGCCCTAATATAAACCATCCTATTTTGGTCATACACCAGCCTAAGGGGTTAGAATAATTTCCTCTAGGGCAAGTTATTCCTCATTCTCCACTAGGGAGTTTCTTGTACCTTCCTGTAAAGCAACTGGTTGTGTTCACTGTTGGAGACAGGAGATTGGTCTGACTAGATATGGCATTCCCTGTGTGCCTGTGTTCTCTCATCTTTCTTGCTCTGCCTTCCCTCTTCCCCTAACTTCTGTGGTTTTAGGAATTTTGCATTAGATTGACCTATGTGCTGTTCTCCTTCCAGTTTTATGGAAGTAGGACAGTGGGCATGTGTGTGGGGGAAGGTCCTTGCTTTCCCTTTCCCTATTCCACCAGTTACACTCTCTAGCCAGCAGGTCTCTGTGGCTATGTGTTGGGGATCAGAAGTGACATTCCGTGGAGCCACAATGCCCCCTGCTGGCTGCCAGAAGACAAGAAGTGATAAGCTCACTGATTGGGACCTTTCCCTGTCTCCTGCTCCTCTACCAATCAGCTGCTGATCCTGCCAGTGCAGTCACTCTGCAGTGCAGGGAAATGACTAAAAGAGTTTCCCTGTCCTTTTGCCTTACAGAACCAGGCACAGTTTGGAGAATCGGATTGTGACTCTTCCGAGGGGGAGTGTTCTGATGCAACCGTCCGGACCAATAAGCCCTGCAGTTCTGCTACTTGGTAATGACAAATTCCCCACCAAAGCCCTTCTGATACTGGCATTTGGATTCCCCAAGACTCCCTTCATTTCCCCCACCCCCTCATACTTCGACAGGAAGAGAAGCTGATTCTCCTTCCCATCCCAGAAATGATCTGCAATAACTTGAATCTCTGGAAAAATGTCCAAATGAAATTAATTCTCACTGAGTATTTCAATCAAGAATGGCAGGGATGTACTTTATTGAATAATCTAGCTACTGTAACATTGATATTTATTTTATTTTTTTTATATTTTAACACTTTTTACTGTAAAGAGTGGACTATATATTGAGAGAGACATTAATTTGTTGCAAAAAAAAGTTAAGAAAGCAAGCAAATGAAAGAGACTCATCCTTTTGAGTCTTACATAAATAGCATGATGGACACATCAGGATCTACTGCTGCTCTCCCAGGGGACCAAGCCTCATGGCCCTAAAGGTTGGAGAATAGATAAAGAGAAACAAACCAATCAGTCTTATCAAATGAAGAAGCATAAGAGAAACCTTGCTAAAGGTAACCTATGAACAAATGGCATTCAGTATAACCACTGGGTCACTTTTAATCAGAAAGTGGACATGTTCCTGGAGAAATTTGGTACCAAGGTGCTTACATCCAGGGTCTTCTGAATCAATACATTCCCCCAGGAATGTGATAATGGGGGTTAATTGATGGGGTTTTGGTTTATTTTTTAATCAGCATTTTGTTGTGAGATCCTGCAGATGTATTCTAACCTCATTCTCTCTCAAGACTTGGTATAACAGCACTTTTTACCATCACCAATCAGCTTCACTATGGCAGACAAAACCGTGTGAATTTCCAGCTGAACAGAGAAAGATCTTTCAGCTGCAGAGTGCCATTTTCCCACAGTTTACTTCCTCTCCTCACTTCCCATTCTCCCATTTGTTTTCTTCAATTAAAAAAAATTCAATCAAATCAGTGCTGGAAACACAAGAAGCATGGAAAGCACATTCTGCGAAGCCTGAGAACTAGACTGGGGAGGAAACCAGAGACACCTGTACTGAACCTTCAGAGGCAACCTCCCACCTATCACATCACCACACAACTGGCCAGCGCCAAGGGAGAGAGCTGTGTATTGGGAGCAAACCAGGGAATACGTTGGCCTGGACAACAGTATCAACCCTCCCTTTGTTCTGTTTATTAATGATTTGGTTTTGGAAGCATTAACAGCTGCCTGCCCTTCATGTTAGGCTTGGTGTAAAACAGAAAGCAAAATTTGGACTCAGTTACATAAGGGGGGGGGAGGTGGGAGAGGAGAGAGCACTTGATTTTGGTTGTGGATGTATTTTATGTAGGGGACCTCAAAGAGCGTATCCCACTCCTGTAAATTCCAGCCTGGAGGAGAAACTGACGCATTGTGGGGGTATCTGAAAGGCAGAGGCACTGACATTTGAGTGACCAGCCTAGTATTCCCAGGGGCCTCACTGGGCCTTCCGTTCAGAAACAAATGGCTCCTTTTAACTGACACACAGAACAAAGATTTTAGTCCGCTTCTCAGTTATTTTCCCTCTGGAACAATTTCAGCTCTGCCTCAAGAGCCCTGGGAAAGGCAGCTGCTCTTCCTCATGGTCTGGCTAGCATGGCTAGAGCAGTGTGTCCTGGGGAAATCAGCCATCTTGTAGAAACCATGCATGAGCCTCAGATGACCGGCAGGAATGGACAGTAGGCAGGTTCTTCTGTTGCTTTGTTTACATTTTATGTTAAAATGTTGATTTGAAGGTAGCCTTGGTAATTTATAGCCTAGTGGCAAGAATGAAGGAAAATGTTTTGCTTATACAAAGAGCAGTATTGTATGAGTTAAATTATTCCATATTTTTAAATTTTTGTAGCTGGACTACATGTAGATCTTAAGTTATTACATTATTTTATTTATTAACTTTTCTGTAGATCAGAAGGTTGGCTTTACTGCTAGCACAATTGTTCTCTCTTCATGTGATGTTATTTCCTCCTTGTGCATCATAGAAGGATGGGAACAGAGCTGGTTTCAGGGGCTGTCAGGATTTGCTCCCCTGCTGGTGTCGTGCAGAGTACAGTCATTCTGGAGGCTGTGTCAGTCCGGGCTGGCCTGCAAGGCGAAGGAGGAGGTACTCAGTTTCATGGGCTTTAGAGATCTTCCACACGGGTGAAACTGTACAGTTTGGGTTTGCTCCTGATTAACGAAGGGGCAACAGGGTGTGAGTGTTGGGGGGAGGGGGAGGGCAGATGGAGTGAGGGGAAAGGGTTGGACAGGAGGGAGTACTTTATAGTGAGAAATAAGCAGAAAGTTTTGACCGAGCCTCTCCAGAGAGGCTTTCTCGGCTGCTAGTACAGAGCAGGGCCTCAATTCTAGTGGTGGTGCTACTCAGGAGGTCACAAATGCTCGCATAAAACAGCTAGGTAAAGGAGGAGAGAGGACCAGGACCCTAGAAATTGAAGGCAGGGGCCAGATTGACCACCACAAATGCAAGGGGGACCAAATTCAGTGTGCCAGTGATGGGGAGGTTCACCCCAGAATGGAGTGCCGATGCCTGGCCCTGCCGAGAGCTTTAAGCTCCAGCAGAAGCTGTGCTGCTAAGGGTGATCTGGTTACTGGACTGTGATGTGCAGAGAGGGCACCCATGTGCCAAGCCAGCCCTGCTCACCTGAGATGTCAAGTGTTTTCTTAAGAGCGCGCTCATTTCCCAAGGCAGCCGTAGAGCATAGGCAAGAGGGGACCATCCGACCTCATGCTGTAGACTGCCAGAGCCCTGAGTCAGGTATTTGGACTCCATATCAATCAGACCCTGCTTGAGAAGGCATAAAGGATTCCCTGGTGCCCACAGGAGTTGTTTTGCCAGCATGCAGAGATAGTGGTAGCCCCTGGTGAGTTACATGAGGGAGTTCTCTGAAAGTTCTTAGACTTTTATAGTAGCACCTGCTAACATATACTGAGAAGCATGTGGGTTTGTGGCCCTACCTGCTTTCTGTACTGTACACCTCTTTAGGCTTCTTCATGGCCTTGCCTTCAACCACATTGCTCATCTCCACTGTCTGTCACAATCATGCCTCACTCTCATGGAGAGGCAGTACAAAATCATCCCCTTTGGTGTGGGCACTTTCCACCCTAGCATTGCTGCCCCTCTTCATCCTGAGAGGCACTTCCCCCATTACCTGCTGGCAGGTATCCGAAATCCTGCCAACAGCTAGTGCCTCCCTCAGGAGTCCTGCTAGCGTTATTGCTCCTTATGCACTGGTAGCATGTGGACAGCAGCTATGCTGTATGAGGTGCCGGGCTCTCTTGGGTCATGAATGGACCTTGGTGTGCACTGTGCAATAGCTCAGGCAGCCTGAGTGCACCTGTGCTTAACTCCATCCCAGAAGGTTCAACATGGTCTAGTTTTGCATGTGCACTTTTCCTAGCATAGAGTATGCCATGCATGTGAGGATGTCCTGGCACTGAAGCCCCTGGCCTACGTTCCACACACACTCCTGGCAGCTTCCTTCTAACATTCTAAACCTCTACACACCCTGAAACAACAGGTAGTTAAAAAGGAAAAACCTACCAGAGCCCATCACCCCCAATTTTACTGGGCCAAGGATCAAAGCAGGCAGCGGTCAGGTGTAGTCAGAAGCAATTTTAAGGTTCAAGATCTTGTCATCAGGGCTAAAAGCAGAAGCCATGAAGCCCTGGGATCTGGATATTTCAGTTCTCGCTTCTATCCCGAGATATCCAGTCTCAAACATGCCACATTATAGCACATAGAACAACTATTACTTGTGGAAGTTTCCAACCTATTATTTAGTCCCCATCAGACTAGATGACCTTATGGCCCTCTCCAGCCTTGAACTATGATCGTTTCTGGGTTCCCCTTGCTCAGGGTGCTACACACTCGGATTTACATCACTCAGGCAGGCTGCCTTTCCAGGCCAAGGGATGGAGCAACAGCCTGAGCTGTTTTTAAAAAGTCCTTGAAACATCAGTGAAATAGTTTGCTCCGTAAACCATGTCTCATCCAGCATAGGATGCTGCAGGGCATTCAGGGGTTTGTTTTGGGGTCCTGGCTTTGCCACTCACAAAAAGTACCGCTATAACTGGTAGTACATGCCATCGCCACTCTCCCTCCACAGGGGCAGAGCCTCACCCATCGCTGTATGTCTGATTCCGCAGCACCAGGAGCTTTTGTAAATAGCATGCAGAGGGTGAAAACCAAACCAAGGTAAAAGTCCTAGGGCTGCAGGTGCTGGCGCTCCTGAGGGGTGCTAGGTACCATATTTCTGAACAAGGGGGTTGAGTTTATGAAGGTACTTGAACAGTGGAGTAAGGATCATAACCTGACCCATGACATGAATAAAATCCAGACTGCACCAACACTGGCTCAGCTGCATGATGTGCCAAGGTGGGAAGGAGCAGGCCAAGTTTTGTATTTCCGGGCAATTGCTCTGTAACGTCTGCAAAGGAATGTGTCCATTTGTACTGCAAAGTCTAGACTTCATTCGCTGCTTAGGCTGTAGCTCTTAGGAAGGTGAGAACTAGAGGCCAAGGTCTGCTCTCAGCTACATTCCTGTAAGCCCAATGTAACCTCACCAAAGCATGTTGACGTACTGTGGATTTATATGCGTGGAGCTGAGTGCAGAAGGTGCAGAGTTTGCACTAGGGCATTACAAAGGGTGAGCTGCAGGCAGAAGTGCCAGTAACAATGCCGTTCAGCCTGGGCAAGGGCAGGCTTGAAATGCCCAGAGAAAGCCCCAGGGGTAGACAGGCTACTTTCTTTTCTTTTCTTCCCTATAAACTCGCCTTCCCAGGAGAAGGGTGAATTGTGGGCTCCCTGCCCACTCCCCACCCAGCCTGGCTTCTGACAGCTCCTCAACACCAGCCTGGCTTCTGGCGTTTATGTTTAATGTTGTTTTTCCCACTGTGTGTTAAAAGTGACCATTTCATCTCAGCCCTTCCCAGTTTCTCTCATCTCCCTTTCTCTCCTCCCTGCGCTGTGGCTTCCTGATACAAACTTGATTTCTGTACTGAACTGTGTACAGTGATGGGAACAAGAATGAGTGTCAAAGCAAACAAATGCATGGAATAAAAAGCCAGTGTACTTCAGTACGTCCCAGGCTTGGCATGGTGTCTGGGTGGTGTGTCGTGTCTGAAGAATTTATACTGGAAGTTGTTGAACTGACAGAAAATTGCTGATCAGTTAAAGTGTCTTTGAAGTTAGCTGTGTTTCTGACTCCAGCTGTGCTGGTTCTGACCAGAGTCCCTGACTCTCCAGCCTGGACTGGAGGGGCTTGTCCCCAGGCGTGGGAGCATGGCCCTGAGCACTGTATTTTTATAGAAGTGCTGGTTTTCATCAGCTGACTCAGATCCAGGCTCCATCACCACATGCACCTCAAGCACCATTCCTCCCCACACACGTAGTCTTGCTCTGCCTCCCCATGAGCCCTCCCACTGGGCTTACCCACTGCCCTCCCTCCAGTCAAGTCAGGGGTGGGGGGCACCCTCTTTCTGGCCAGAGCAGGGTTCCCCCCACCAAAACCCTCCCCTGCCAACTGTTCTGCTTTGTACTCTGAAAAATCTTCCCCTCCCCCAGTTGCCATGCACAAAGCAGAACCTGTCCAGTCATGAAAGCAAACAGCCATGCAATCAGAAAGGAGAGCTGGACTCCAGCCCCTTAGGGTCCCATGCATCCTTTTGTCAGAGGGCCCAGCCGTTATCCCCACGTATTACGTTCACAAGCCATGGATGATGACCTAGCAAACATGTCAGGGCCCGTTTATGGCACAGTCCACACCATGGCAGCCAGAGAGCACAGACAGACATGCACACCACAGAGTCAAACCTGCTTGGTAGGTGGGAGTCCTGGCTCCTAGGTGAGTGATGGAACAAGAGTCCTGTGCTCAGGTGGCTGCAGGAGCAAATACTCGGCTTTGCACCCGTTATTTATGCTGCAGGGACAAACAACCCTGGGGCAAAGGAGGCCCCGAGTCAGCCCTTCTGGAAATCTACCCACACTGCGTGGGTAAGCAGCCCCTCCAGGCCAGCTGTGCATCAGTTCCGCTGGTGCTGACACAGGCCATTACGCTGAGTTCATGCAGATGTAACTGAGCAGAATTGGGCTCAAGGACTTGAACAAATGAAGGCTGCTCCCTGTGAGGTGGGTACGTCTCCACCTTGGAGGGTGGTGGGCAGTGCTTTCCGGCAGAGAGGTAACTTAACTGAAGCCCTACAGCGACTCAGTGTAACAAGAAGAGCTTGGGCCCTTCTCCCTACTCATCCCTTTCTTAGCTGCTGCTCTCCAAGCAGGAAGCCCCTGTTCTCAAATGCAAGCCCTGGATCCCTGCTAACACTGTCTGATTTAGCCTAATGTAACCAAGCTGCCTTCCAAACACCCTCCGGCTCAGTTTCCCTTCCCTGCGGGTGGCACTGGCAGCTCTCCGCAATTGTAGGCAGGGGAGACAGTGCACTGAAGCCACAGGGATGCTCCCTGCCCCCAGGAATCTCCCAGGGAGAGCAGCAGAGCACCCATTTCTTACAGTGCTCTCCCCTTGCAAGGTGCTAGCAGACCAAGCTCCAAGGCTTTCACTACCCTCCTCTTGGGATGAGCTCAGTGCTGCGGTGAAACAAATTCAAGCTGCACCCTCTTCCCTTGTCTCAGGTTAGTCTTGCTACATCCTAACAGCTCATGCACCAAGAGAAAGCACAATTGCCTCTGTGAAGACTGCTTGACATCACATGACAGGAAACTAAAATAACTAGATAAGCTACCAAATACAGATTTGGAAAGGATACTGTGTGAGAGCTCAGAACCTAGGAGCAAGGGTGCATGTCTGAAAGCAGCCACAGCCTGGTGCCACACATACTTTTTAAAGCAAGTGCGGCTTGGTGCTGCATGTGTGCTAGACAGCAGCCGTGGTGTGGGGCAGGGTGCCTGACCAGCTCCCCCACCTCTCATGAGGAAAAGAGAAATCAGAAAGAACTGCATTTGTAAAAGGAGACAGACAAGGCCAGGCCCAAGGCTCACCCTCCTGCCTTATTAGCTAGTGTCTTATCTAACCCTAGCTGGGATGGTACAGTGCTAAAGGAGCTATTCATTAGAGCCAGGGTTCAGGAAATGCTTTGGAGTCTATCCACCCTTCCCAAGCAAGAGGCCTCGTCATCATCTGGCGAACAAGCACATAAGATCCATCCGATGAAGTGAACTGTAGCTCACGAAAGCTTATGCTCAAATAAATTGGTTAGTCTCTAAGGTGCCACAAGTCCTCCTGTTCTTTTTTGTGAATACAGACTAACACGGCTGCTACTCTGAAACATAAGATACAGAAGAACTCTGTAATTTAGTCTGTTTCCTATAAAGAGGTGCCTGGCCCTAGGGTACATGGGCATCCTGGCATTACATTATTAACTCACCTTAATGCACCTGATGATATGCTGTCACAACTGCTGTCCACAGGGGCTATTTAACTTTATGGGATCACTGACATCATGTAGGGTGCCCAATGGCAGGACGCTGTGACTGTTGCTAGATTCCTTAAGTTGACAGGGCCTCAAGGAGTTTCACGTACAGTGCCTTCACCCTCTCACAGGCCTGTAGTAACAGTTCCCCTAGCATCTGTGAGACACCAGCTCCACTTCTATATAACTTGGAAGGGGGTCTGATAAGGCCTGAGGTGGGAGCTTTACATCACATTACCTTAAGCCTGGTTTCTGGTAAGGTTCTAGAGGGCCTTAAAATGGTGGCGCATGAGGCAGCATGAAGTGTGGGGCTGTAGGACCATTTCCCCCAGCACTTTCCAACAACACTAAATTCACTCAAGCAAGAGGAAAGGCTGGTGTGATGTGGTATTTACCCCACACCAGCCTCTGAAGGGGTTATGGTGGCTAGGTGAGCCAATTAAGCACTGCGGCTGCACCTGGAAGAGCCAGGAAACAATGAGGACTAATTAAATGATGAAGCTCACTTGGACAGGGAGCTGAGGGCAGAAAGGGGCTGCAGGGAGGAGATCTGCAGTCACTGTCTGAGGCTATGGAGGGCAGGGCATGCCCAGAGAAAGGTGGAGAAGGAGCCTGCTAGAGGCAATGTAGGAGACAGTCCAGGACAAGAGTAGCAAGGCGTGGGACAGTGCAGACCTTATCCACTGGTTGTAAAGTCCCTGGGCTGGAACCAGGAGTAAAAGGTGGGCTCAGGTTCCCCTATCAGCCACTGAGGAAGTGGCACTATTGATGGGCTGTGAATTGGAAGATGGCCTGGTACAGAGACCTTGGTACACAAACCCCCCTGGAAGGGGAAAACTACAGTGACCTGTCCAGAGGGCCAAGCCACGAAGAGGGAACTAGAGGGTCCCAAGAGAGACAGAGTGAGCACCCGCAGGAAGGGCATCAGACTGGCAGAGCTAATCCCCAGCCATCACCACATGGAGGTGTGCCAGTGGGACATAGAGAACACCCTGTGCTAGATCCACAAAGGGGACTTAGTTTCAGCATTGCAACGCCTAACCTGCAGGTGCCCTGCTGCCTTGTGGAATCTGCAGCCCTGAGTTAGATGCCCAGGCTCCTTGTACAAGGCATGGAGAGAAACAGGTGCCTAAGAATGGGACTCTCAGAAGGCAGCACACTGAGCTACCCATGAGGTAATGCCAAGGTGAAGCGTGTGGTCTAAGCCCTGCCCTCAAAGGGGACTGGGCTTTGCCAGGGGGAGGTGCTTATCTCCACTCCGGATTCTCAGCCATGAACACTCCTGGAGTCAGGGACCTGAGCCGGGGCCAGTCCTTCCTTGCCAAAAAAAATAAAAAGTGCTAATGTCCCCATTGCCTCTTCTACCACTAGCGGTGGGGGTCTAGCACTCACCCAGGACACGGGAAACCGAGATTCCCATTCCCCCTTGACCTGAAAGCAGATGGCATTTGAACCCATCTCCCACGTCACCGGTGTGCGTTTGGTGGTGGGGCTCAGGCTCTCCTGTTGCAGTTGTTCCCCTTTATATACATACTGTAGTCAGCGGAACACGGCCTTGAACTCGCTCTCCCACATCCCAGGTGATGCCCTGACCACTAGCTTTAGTGATTTTCTCTCGCTCAGGCCCAGTGAATCGTTCAGCCTGTTATGCAAAATGGAACTGCTTCAAGAGGTGAGAGATGTGCCCCAGAACACCCCAGAGCCCAATGGTTAGCACACTCAGCTGGGTTCACGTCCCTGCTCCTCTCAGGGAGAGGAGGGAACTGAATGTGGATCTGCCCCAGCCCAGGCATGTGACCTACAACCTTCTGAGTACGCACTGTGTGTGCTGGGGGGAGGGGTGCACTGGTACCACCAGTGGCTCTTTTCTGCAGGGCCCAATTGGGTAGGCATGCGCTAAGGCAGCGTTTCCCAAACTTTTTTGGCCACGGAACACTTTTTAGCCTATTACGGAACACTTATATTATTTTGTAGTCGTTGGGTGTTCAAATAAACAATTGCGTTATTTATGCTCAAATATATTTTATTTTCTAAAACAAAGCAAAAATACAAATTTAAAATAACTTGAACAATTTCTAACTGGAAAGCGTGTATAACGTAGTATGAAAATCAAGTGCAAGAGTCAAAATTAAATTCTAGATTCTTTCGTGGAACACCTATTCACCTCGGGCGGAACAGCAGTGTTCTGCGGAACACAGTTTGGGAACCACTGCTCTAAGGTAACCTCTGAGCCTGCTTCCTGTATGACTGCTTCAGGGAGCAGATAGTCCTGGAACCCACCAGGGCTGAGGCAATGCTTGATTTAGTTCTAAGTGGAGCACAGGATCTGGTTCTAGAGGTGAATGAATATAGCTGAACTGCTTGGTAATAGCAACCAGAATGTAACTACATTTAATCTTCTTGTAGGGGGAAATACCGAAGTATCCCACCCTAGCAGCATTTAACTTCAAAAAGGGGAGCTACACAAAAATCTCTAGGCCAGGTCTACACTACAAAATTATGTCCACTGATGTTACATGAGCCACCAGTTATTGCATCACTTGTCTGTGAGCACACTACTCGTCCCGTGTCAGCGAGGGCTCTGTCCTCACTGGGCAGGCTTGTAGCGATAGAGTGCAGTGCACCATGGGTAGGTATCCTGTGCAACTCGC